GGTGGCTTCATTGTGTTTGGTATTTTTTTGCGGTAGCGACAACCGGTGACTTCACTGGAGACACGTCTCTAAGTGGGTTAATCCTAGCTTTGTTTGTTTCTTTTCTTTTGGTGTTTATCTATATGCTTTACTTGCTATTTATTTATTGCATGCATTGAATTTTATTGCTTTCCACTATTATGGATATATGGTGCTGGTTGTTGGATTTTCTGTTTTTCAGGTTGGGAGGGATGATTCTATGAGGTAAAAGGATCAATACTTAGGCCAGAGAGAAACACCTAGGAACACATAGGATTAGAGTGGATGGTCATGACACCTATGGGTGTAGGTTCTACTAGTGTGATCATGAAGTACCACGCTCAGAGGAGGTTCATTTGGGGATATTATCGTCATATGTACCTCCGTTACAATGATATGTTTCCACGTGGACTAACGACTCTGTGGACCTTTTAACTATACCCAAGCCAAAATTTACATGTGATATGCGGCGGGAATTATTCTTAGAGGTACAAATGTTGATCCTCATGGTACTTGGTTCCTTTATGTTCTGATTTCGTGTCGGACCTTTGATATTGTGATATTCAGTTTGTTCAGAACAGTGCAATAGTTATTCATCTTAATGAAACCTTGATCCCATTTACTTGCATACATGTTCCTTTAGTTCCATGCATCTTTTCTTTGATTCAAGTTGTTAAGCCGTCTCAGATATGAACACTGTCAAGAAGGACACCATTGCTTAATAATATGAATCAAAGCCTATAAATTCCTAGAAATATTAGAACATGGCATTTGCATTGCATATTATTTGCATCATCTACATCATTCAAGAATACATCCAGGTTGCCCAAGATCTCATTTCCAATGGTCTCTTTCTTCCAGTTATCTGTCAATCGTCAAGCAATTTTCCCAACATAACTATGGAACTAGAGATACCGTCAGATTGAGAATGGAAAACCAAGAATAGAAAAACATGGAAGTCAAAATGGAAATTGATGAGTTGAAGTCAGACATGGCCAAACTTACTGAGATTATGCAAGTTCTGATTTCCAGAGGAGAACCACCTCAAAGGACAATGACCTCTGAAATCTCAATTGTTATTGTTGACCCTCAACCTATCCAGCATCCAGCCACTACATGGCCATAGTTTGGTTTACCTCAGAATTATTCTTCTCCATTTGCCAATACTTCTATGGTTGGCCAATCTTCCAGACCAGTGTTTCAGGCTCCAGTCTTCTATGAACCTCAATCTGTTGTGTATATTGCTGCTCAAGCTATTCAAGCTCCTTATGAGAACCCTCTCTTTGAGTACTATCTTGTTGGTGCCCAAAGTGAAATCCAAGGAGATGCTATTGAGTTTGAAGAGGTCAAAGAATAGTATCAGAATTTAAAGAAGATACTTTGAGCTATGGAGGGTAATGAGTTCTTTCGTGTTGATGATGACAATATGTGCTTAGTTTCTGACCTTGTGATACCTGCAAGATTCAAAACTCCTGAGTTTGAGAAGTATAAGGGGCATACATGTTCGAGGAGTCATTTGGTTATGTACTTCAGGAAGATGGTTGTTTACACCAATAATCAGAAGCTGCTCATCCATTGCTTTCAAGACAGTCTGAGTGGTGCTTCACTCAAATGGTATATGGGACTCGAAAGGAACTATATCCAGTGCTTCCAAGATCTTGTTGATGCTTTCATGAAGCAACAAAAATACAATCTTGACATGGCTCCTAACCGTCTCCAATTGAAAAATATGTCTCAGAATGGGAAAGAATCTTTCAAGGAATATGATCAATGATGGAGAGAAGTGGCATCTCAAGTTGAACCACCTCTAGCTGAAAAAGAGCTCACAGACATGTTTATGGATACCTTATCTCTTTTTTTTAGGAGAAGATGATTGGTAGTGTATCTTCCAGTTTCGCAGACTTGGTGACTATTGGCCAAAAGCTAGAAGAAGGAATCAAGAATGGTAAAGTATCTAAAGTTGTTGAATCTTCTAATGGTGCGAAGAAGTCCTTTGGGAACTTCCGAAAGAAGAAAGAAGTTGAAACCAATGTAGTCTCAAATGAGACAGGAAGACCTCTCCAAAGGCCTCATTATTATGGTTAACCACAAGTAGCTGTAGTTACTCCTTTGGCCAAGGCTCAACCAACATGGGTGGTTCCTCCCAAGAATCAGAACATAGCTCCCAAGTATCAATAGAAGGAAGCTCGATGCATTAATTTGATTCTAATAACTTATACTGAACTATGGCCTACATTAATCCAGAGATCGCTTGTTACTCCAAGACCAACTTAGCCCAAGACATTAAATTTTCCCACGGGGTATAATCTAAATGTCAAGTGCGACTTTCACGGCGGGGTAGCAGGTCACTCCATTGAAGACTGCATAATCCTTATGTAGAAAATGCAAGATTTGATTGACAGCATAATACTCTCCTTCAAGGATACATGTCCTAATATCAACAACAATCTGCTAATAGGGCATGACGAGTAAATCTAAGTCAGAGCTAACCTACCTCCTAAAGCCAGTGTTTCAGATAGGACGGCGCATCCTTGTTGCTGATTAGTCACTAGACCATGTTTCTTTATGTTTGTGTTTTCTTGTAATTTCATTGACTATTGCTTTCAAACTTTGTTTGTACTTTCATGTTAATTTTAATGAAATGAGCATCGCAATGTTTTGATTGAATTCATTCTCATTTACTGTTTTATTTTTCAAAAAATGTATCTTCTGTTTACTTTATTTATCCAACTTTTGTTTATGCAAAGATTGGAGGATGGATGATGAAAACGAAATACTCATAATTGTTGTTGGTATGCTTTCAAATAAAACTTTACTGGTGATGTGCAGACATTGTTTCAAATTCCCAAACACTGGAGAAATAAGGAAGTTAATCACTTGTCAACCCCCTTGAGCCTAGAAGTTAGAGTTTCTTTCTATACGAAAAAATCTACAATCTTAACCTGGGATAAGGTAGTTGTCATTAATTTGGATGTGCATTTAAATATAAGAGAATCATGCAAGACATCTTTCAATAAAAGTTGCAATCAAGCTTTCCTTTGCACACATCAAAGAAGTGTCAAAGATATCCTCCAATTCAAAGTGACAATGATGGTTCACCATAATTATTAAGCAAGGTAGTCACTATCTTTCCAAAAAAGAAAAGAATGAAATGAAAAATAAAATAAAAAGCCTGCTAAGTTAAAACCTATGAAGGAGACTTATGAAAAACTAGGGCATCCTGTTGACTGTAATCTCAAATGAAACAGTTTAGGCAAAAGTTAGGGATAACAAAAGAAAAATCAATCAAAAGGTCACCAAAATCCTCAACAAAGACAAAATGAGTTGACCAAAGTCCTCAACAAGAATTTGTAAGAAGAAGTGACTGCCTTCTCAAAAAATCTCTTTGTTTCTGAGCCATCATCATTACTATCATCAGCGCAATTCTAAAATCTCTTGGAACCTAAATGCGTAGTATGAATTAACTGAATGTATGACTGAAGAACATCATGAAGAATGGTTTGGGTACAAATAAACTTTGATCCTATATCCTTTATTTCATAAACCATGAACCTGACCACATTACAACCCTCAAAAGACATAATTGAAGCCATGTTTCTTTTGAAAGCATACTATAGCAAGGTTGCGTAAACTGCCTCATAAGATCTTTTGCAAATCATTAGACACCCTTTATCTCCCTTGTACTCAAGGGGGTCCTTTTTAGACCTAGGACTTAGAGGAAATATTTATTTATTTCATTATCATGCATAGGAAGAAGAAACAAAGAAAATATATTTTTTAAGTTAGTGGACTCGCCTTGGTTTTTCAACAGTGTACCTACGTATCTTCTTAAGAAGAAATCAGAGTCCTTCGTAGTTCAAATGTGTTTGGTTAGTATTTTTTATTGGATTATGTTAAGTTGCTTTTGAATGATTTTGAACTTACCTGAGTTGGAAAACTGAGTGATGGCAGGCGAAGTCTTTTGTATTCAAGTAATAACCGGACAATTCTTTATCGAAAAAAGTCTTGAATTTGATTATGTTAGTAAAAATTGTTTTTGATTGGTTAGCTGTTTTAAATTTGATCTAAGTTTCGAATTGGTTGAAGAAGAGTTGATCTTCATTAGAACTCGATTGTATTGGGCGAAGAAATTAATATTATTGATTGGTGATTTTTAGATGTCTTGATTTGAATAGTTAATTGGTAAGGTCTTAACTTAATTATTTGGGGATGTGTATCCTATTATTTATAAAATATTAAAATTAATTTAATTGTAAAAAAGATTATGTACATGGATGATAAACTAAATGATTTAATCTAATTAAAAAAATTAACCTAGTTAACCGAATTAATTTAAACTATATTACTACATTAATCATTTACAGAGACAAATAATACTAGGAAAATTAATTAAACTAATTAAAGTTAACTAACCTAAATAATTAAAATAAAAGCTAACCTAAATGATTAAATATATGGGCTTGGGGTGCAGAAAAATTGGGTGTTGATTAGTAAAAGCGTCTAGGCCCAATAACAAACTCACCTATAATTAAATAATAAACTAAAAATAAAAATACATAAAAATATAAATAAATGAAAAATGAATTTAGAGAGATTAATCTCCCTTTCACTTTTCACGTATGGACACAGTAATGTCTTGTTTCAGTTGTCCAAATTTAAATATTCTTCTTTTATATTTAACAATGATGATTAATATACTATGACTTTTCATCTCATAACATAACATGATCCTATAAATAATCGACACATGACTTGCTATAAAATAATATAAAAAAATAAAAACCAAAAATGTTCATCTTTCTCTACAATATCTTCTCAAATAAAAACCATGGTCCCCTTTTTTGAAAAGTTATCATAACAAGTAAATATCAAAAAATCAAAGAAGCGTGTCAAACGTACCGCGGCGTTTAGAGGCGGCCGAACACGATTCACGACGGACTTGATGCAAGCTATGGGATGGTGCGCGGATCTGCGGTGGTGCGATGGTGAGCGGTGTTCGCGGCGTGGTGGCTCGGTGTGGTCGGGAAGCCGATTGCGGAGGGATGTGTGAGGGCAGGACGGCGAGTTCCAGTGGGTCTGTGATGGTTTCGGTTAGAGTGCTTTTTACCGGCGCTGAAGGTGCTTCTCGGAGCCGTATCACGAGGAATTTTCTAGCGACCGTTTTCTCCTTTTTTTTTCTCTTCTTTTTCTGTTAACTGTATTTGTTGTTTAGCTGAAAAAAGAACAAATGTTGCTTGTTTGGATTTGTGTTGAGTTTGTATTATGTTGTTAATGATAGTTTCGAAAGTATGTGCCTAGTATATAATTCTTAACTTGTATTTACATTATGCAGGTTAGGAATATGTATTCATCACGTTAAAGAAAAGAGAGAATTTTTTGTGAAATAATTGGTGGTGAATGAAAACAGAGTATATACGTGAATCCTTACCATGTAAATGGATTCTATAGTGGAAAATTTTATAGTGGAAAATGTGTGTGTGAATTGTGAATAAAAAATTTGCCACTTTGTGAATACACAGAAACTCAAAATAGTTAAAAATTGTTAGTTCAAAAGAAAAATCTAATTCAAGAAGAAAAAAATCATCAAATAATATCACCATATGGTTTTTTAAAAAAAGCAACAAAAGTAAATTAAAGTTAAAAAAGGTGGTCTCATATGTAAATCGTTATTCAAAAATAAAAAAATAACACCAACAATTCTGAGAAGAAATTTTGAAAACTGAAGTGTATGTGAATAAGTAAAATTGCGGAGTTCGTGGATATTGTGGATAGAAAAAAGTTAGAAAATTATGAAAATTATGAGGATTGTTGATGAATTGAATTGTCAAAATAGATGACTATTTATAGACTGAAAAATTAGGGTAAAACACAAAAAAAAAAAATTATCCAAAATTAAAAAAAAAACAAAGTTTTTGATTATTTCTTGGTCAGCAAGTTTAAGAATCTAGACCTATTTGTAACTCTATGCAAGATATGAATGTTAAAAAAAAATAGAACCAATAAAATTCGAATTCGTGACCTTATGCTTACAAGTCTTATCTCCTTACTAATTTTGATATCTCATTTATTCAAAATAAAGAAACACTTGAAAACATATGAAAAGTGGAAAAATATTTGTTATTTAAGAAATATAAATAATTTAAAGTAAACTATTATATTTTTTAATAAGCAAAATAAATTAAAAATATTTATAAGATCCAAAATATTAGTGTAAATAAACCAAAGAAATTTATAAAAAAAACAAGTTTGAAAATTATTTGACCGTTAGAAATAGAGCGGACAAATTTGGAGTATGACACGTACACTAGCTGATATCAGTCATCTTTTGTTTTCATTTGTCAACACATTAATTGAGAATGATTTGGCGGCGCTATTTCCTTTTCCCATCAAGTTTTCTCACTGGAATTTCTTTGCATTTGCCTCATTGATTTCCACATAGTCGGTCTTTCATATCATATCATATATAAAAATATATGTGTAAAAAAATCCATGCATTGCAATACATTCCATTTATACCCAAGGGACAAAATTTGAGGTCTTTTGTATTTAATTACCTTTCACTATTATGTTATCTAGTTAAGGATAATTAAATAGGGGCAACTGTCATACTCCAATTTTGATCTGAGATCATTCATTCATCGCATTTACATCATTAGTGGGTCATTCATGCATTTAGGTTGATAAAAAGTCAATTTAAATCAACAGTTACATCGTTTTAGAGTTTAAAAAATACATGATATCTCACTTCATGCATTTTTATCTATTTACATCGCTTCATGCATTACGCCAAGTTGATCATATTTCAATAATTTTGATATTTTGATTCTACAGGCAAATCGTTAAAAGCGATTCGACATTGTGCCAAAAATTAATAGATAAAATATTTTGAGTTCTCATCTTCAGTTGATTGTTTTGTAAATCTACATTGCACGTAGATTATATTGGTGTGTTCGCTTTATTTTTTCGGTACATTTTACAGTCTCTTTTTTAACTTTAAGTGCTTGTTCAGACAAATATCCTTATTCTCATTTTTATTTCGATTTTGGTCATTTGTAATCTGTTTTATTAATCTTTATGACCTGTAGTTTATTTTAATATGTTCATCTCTTTTTATGATTAATCAAGTGTTATTTTTTATTATTTTGAGTCTCCTTTTTTATTCAGAAAAAATTGAAATAAAAATATTTTTGAGTGTATTTATTTTTTATTTTTTGTGATTATTTTTATCAAAGGGACATTTTAGACATTTATTAAAATAGGAAAACCTAGTTTGTTGTATATAATAGATTATAGATAGAATTGTAAAGGGGGTAGCAGACTTAGAATGAGAGATCAGAGTTGAAAAGAATATAAATCAGAACAACTTCCTCCGTTCACGTCCTCATCTCATAGCCACCCACGACACACCATCACTTCCGGGTACTCTCTTCGTTCGTTTCCGCTAGCTCCACGCCACGTGAACCACCCACACCGTTCTCACCTTGTGTTCTTCCGCGATCTTCCACCACGGCCAACACCAAACACGCCCCAGCAACTTCCTCGTCGTTTCACAGGACCTTCTATCGTGACCCATCTGAAAACACATAACAACTTTCAATTTGTTCGGCCAGCCATTTCCTTCCACCAACAACAACACCTCTTTTTCCATTGTTTTAAGTGGTAAGCCACTTCTTCCATCATTTTTGTAGCTTACTTGATTTTATTAGGGGAAATGGTGAAATTGATGATGTTGTTGTTGTGATAACAAATTGAAATTGATAATGATGATATTGTTGTGAATTTAATGTTGAATTTGGTAATGATATTGTTATGGATTAAAGGTTGAGATAATGATGATATTATTATGAATTTAATGTTGAAATTGATAATGATAATATTGTTGTTAGTTTAAGTGTTTAAGATAATGGTGATTATTGGTTGTAAACGGTATGTTGAAATTGAATGAGAAACTTGAGTTAAATGATGAACATGTTGTTGTGATTCAATTTGAGATTTGAAAGGTCAATTGTTGATGTTAATTGTTATGTTTTTGAGTTTATAAGAATTATCATGTTACTTGAGTTAATTTGAATGAGTTATGATGTCGATATCATGCTCCATGTGTTATTTATGCTAAATTCGAGTCAATTTTTGTATCGATGCCATGCTCTATGTGTTATTCGTGCTAAATTCGAGTGAAGTTTGTTGTCTATGCCATGTAACTTAATTAATTCAAGAGATGTTGATGACACTTTTTATTTATTTAAATTAAATTTTAGTGAAGAAGCTTGGTGTTAACTTTGAAGTGTTTCTCAATGGTTTCAAGCATGTTTGAGTTGGATTTTTGGGGCATAATTATTTATGTGTAGTTGCTGTCCGATTATTGATTTAATCAATTAAGGCTTAATTCTAATCTTGTTTTTTATGTTTTGAATATGTCTGGAATAGCAACATGGGTGTATTTTAATTGATTTTAATTTCTAATGAATGAAATAAGTGTTTGAAGTTGTCTCGAGACTTAAAAGCTTTCATGAGATTTTGGTTTCTAATCATCTTTTACTACTTACTTTCTTGATTCACAAATTGATTCTAAGTGTATTCTAATCCATGTTTCCTTGTCTTTTCATTCAAGCATGTATGCTTAGTTTTGGTTGAGAATTGGTTATCCATTAAGTTAGAAGCAAGTTTCATTTGGTTTATTGCCATTTCTCTTGTGTTGCTAACCTTGTTTATAGTTTCTCCAAGCTTTCAATATGGCTCAAGTATTCATTTCCTCTTTGCACACTTTGTTGCTTTTAATTAATTAATCAAATGTTGATTTAATTAGTTGATTTTGTTATTAAAAAATAATTATTTTTTCTAATTAATTTTTCTTAACCTAATTAATTAATTTAATCAATACTTAATTAATTGATTAAACATTCACTTCATATATTATTCATTCATTTAGCTCTGATACATGGTTCTAATCTATTTTGCTTGAATTCTTATTTCACATGAGACCTTTGGTTTATTTCTCTGTTATCCTTGCTTTATCTGTTTGTTCGATTTTTCATCTGATGCATGAGTTCTTATCTGATACCTTGGGCTTATCTGATGCACTTTCTGCTTGAGATTTATTTTCACTTGATGCTTGGTATAATCTTGGTTTATTATTTGCTTGTGTGTCATTCCCAGGTGGTACTGTGGGTTTTGTTTTGTTATCATTGTCATATCTTAGTTGAGAACAAATAGTCACTCCGTTTTTTCCATAGTTGAGATCACAACATTGTTCTCATGTTGGTTTTGGTTATGAACAAAGAGTTATTTAGTTTTCACCATAGTTGAGATCAAGAAATTGTTCATCATTATTTTGTTTATTCTTTATTATGGACAAAGAGTCACTCAAATTTCACCATAGCGGAGATCACAACATCATCCTCATTTTTGTTTCATTGTGAATGAAGAGTCACTCAGTTTTCATGCCATAGCTGAGATCATGACATCGTTCTCATTCTTCTTGTTTCCTTTTGTTGATTTCTTATGCTAACATATACCCTTACGAGTTTGATTCCATCTTGTTCAAGGTGTGAATTAAATAGATTTTAGGTTTTAAATCAAGCATGATAACATTAGGTAGAAGTTCCCTCAATCCTTGCCCTTAGGTCAATGATGCATGTTAACTTTTAGGTAGTTTTCCCTTTTATATCCCAACTCTAGAGCCATATTGCATGACAATATTAGGACTTTAGTTTCCCCTTAAATTTTGTTTTCCCTTCTGCATTGCATTTAAAACTAAAACTTGTTTTTCTTTATCAAATCTCAAAAACACTTAACAATAAAGAGGCGAACCATGTGGCATGAGCCTTAAGTATTGAGAGAAGTGTGATGTGGTGCATTCATAACCTTGTTCTTCCTCTCACTCATAGTCTTTATTGTGGTTCAAATCACTAAATCCTTTTTCAAAGACTAAAAAATATCCAACCTCATTCAAACCTTTTTGTGCCATCGTACACCTTTTCTCCTTTAAAACTTTTTCCAAGATTCGACATGAGTCATTTATAATCGAGATTTCATTCCCCTATCCCCATGGTTATAAAGATATCGACTTTTTCACTTGAGTACTAGAGGTGTGTCTAAACCCTCCCTCATGTTGGTACGTTGTCCCTCTTTCTCATACTTTGTGGGTGATTAGTCGACTCTTTTCCTTAAGAATGACAACTTGACTCTTAATTTAAAATCAATAAACAAATAAACCTTTTCAAGAAGAACTACAGTACTCTTATTCCCTATTGCACAACGAGGATAAGTATGCACGAGGTTTCAAAACCGAGTCGAGTACATTAATAAAAACTTTTCTTTTTGTTCTTTAACAATTCATTCATTCATTCCCTTAGCTTGTAAGCTTTAAATTATACACACTCTTTGATTAGAACAATTAGAGTAGATCTCGTTGAGTACATCGGACGTGAGGGGTACTAATACCTTTCTCTTGCGTAATTGAATCTCTTACCCTTCTATTGGTCTCATGACCATGAACTTTTCCTTTATAGGTTTTCTTCAATGTTTTTATTTCCCTTCCTTGAGATAAATAATGATTCGATGGAAGCTTCATTGTGTTTGATATTTTTTTTGCGGTAGCGACAACTGGAGACTTCACTGAGGACAAGTCTCTAAGTGGGTCAATCCTAGCTTTATTTGTTTTTTTTTCTTTGGGTGTTTATCTATATGCTTTCTTGTTGTTTATTTATTGCATGCATTGCATTTTATTGCTTTCTACTATTCTGGATATATGTTGTGCTGGTTGTTGAATTTTCTGTTTTTTAGGTTGGTGGGATGATACTATGAGGTAAAAGGTCCAGTACCCAGGCCAGAGAGAAACACCTAGGATTAGAGTTGATGGTCATGACACTTGTGGGGTGTAGGCTCTACTAGTGTGATCATGAAGTACCACGCTCACACGAGGTTCATTTAAGGATATTATCGTCATACGTACCTCAATTATGATGATATATTTTCACGTGGACTAACGACTCTGTGGAACTTTTGACCATACTCAAGCCATAATTTACATATGAGATGGGGCGGGAATTATTCTTATAGGTATAGATGTTGATCCTCATGTTACTTGGTTCCTTTGTGTTCTGATTTGGTGTCGGACCTTTGATCTTGTGATATTTAGTTTATTCAGAATAATGCAACATTTATTCAGCTTGATGAAACCTTGATCCCATATACTCGCATACATGTTCCTTTATTTCCATACATCTTTTCTTTGATTCAAGTTGTTAAGTCGTCTCAAATGTGAACACTGTCAAGAAGGACACCATTTCTTAATAATATGAATCAAAGCCTATAAATTCATAGAAATATTGGAACATGGCATTTGCATTGCATATCATTTGCATCATCTGCATCATTCAGGAATGCATCCAGGTTGCCCAGGATCTCATTTGCAATTGTCTCTTTCTTCTAGTTATCTGTCAATTGTCAAGCTATTTTCCCAACACAACTACGGAACTAGAGTCGCAGTCAGATTGAGAATGGAAAACCAAGAACAACACTACATGAACGTCATAATGGAAATTGATGAGTTGAAGTCAGGCATGGCCGAACTTACTGAGATGACACAAGTTCTGATTTCCAAAGGAGGACCACCTCAAAGGACAGTGATATCTGAAATATCAATTGTTGTTGTTGACCCTCAACCTATCCAGCTTCCAGCCACTACATGGCCAGAGTTTGGTTTACCTCAATATTATTCTCTGCCTTTTTCCACTACTTCTATGGTTGGCCAATCTTCCAGACAAGTGTTTTAGGCTCTAGCCTTCTCTGAACCTCAACCTATTGTGCATACTGCTGCCTAAGCTATTCAAGCTCTTTATGAGAACCCTCTATTTGAGTACCATTCTGCCGATAGCCAAAGTGAAAGACAAGAAGATGCTATTGAGTTTGAAGAGGTCAAATAACAGTATCAGACTTTAGAGAAGAGACTTTGAGCTATGGAGGGCAATGAGTTCTTTAGTGTTGATGCTGGCAACATGTGCTTAGTTTCTGACCTTGTGATACCTGCAAAATTGAAAACTCCTGAGTTTGAGAAATATAAGGGGCATACATATCCGAGGAGTCATTTGGTCATGTACTTAAGGAAGATGGCTGCTTACACCAAATATCAGAAGCTACTCACCATTTCTTTCAAGACATCCTGAGTGGTGTTTCACTCAAATTGTATATAGAACTCGAAAGGAACCATGTCCAGTGCTTCCAAGATCTTGTTGATGCTTTCATGAAACAATACAGATACAATCTTGACATGGCTCCTGACTGTCGCCAATTGCAAAATATGTCTCAGAATGAGAAAGAATCTTTCAAGTTGAACCACCTCTAGCTGAGAAAGATCTCACATGCATGTTTATGGATACCTTGTCTCCTTTCTCTTGGGGGAAGATGATTGGTAATGTGTATTCCATTCTCACAGACTTGGTGCGAAGAAGTCCTTTGGGAAGTTCCAAAAGAAGAAAGAAGTTAAAACCAATGAATTCTCCAATGATAGAGGAAGACCTCTCCAAAGGTGCCAGTATTATGGTCAACCACAAGTAGTTGCAGTTACTCCTTGACCAAGGCTCAACCAGCATGGGCGGTTTCTCCCTAGAATTAGAACAGAGCTCCCAAGTATCAGCAGAAGAAAGCTCGCTGCATTGATCTAATTCCAATGACTTATGTTGAACTATGGCTTGCATTAATCCAAAGATCGCTTGTTACTCCAAGACCAACTGAGCCCAAGACATCAAATTTTCTCGCGGGGTACAATCCAAATGTTAAGTGCTACTTTCACGGCGGGGTAGCAGGTCACTCCCTTGAATACTGCAGAATCCTTAGGGAGAAAGTGCAAGATTTAATTGACAGCATAATACTCTCCTTCAAGGATATAGGTCATAATGTCAACAACAATCCGTTGCCAGGGCATGATAAGTAAAGCTAAGTCAGGGTCATCATACCTCTTAAAGCCAGTGTTTCAGACAGGACAACTCATCCTTGTTGTTGATTAGTAAATAGGCCATGTTTCTTTCTGTTTGCATTTTCCTTTAATCGCATTGACTTTTGCTTTCAAACTTTTTTTTTAATTTTATGTTAATTTTAATGAAATGAGCATTGAAATATTTTTATTCAATTCATTCTCATTTACTATTTTCTTTTTCAAAAAATATATCTCATATTTACTTTATTTATCAAGATTTTATTTATGCAAAGATTGGAGGGAGGATGATGAAAACGAAATACCCATAACTGATATTGGTATGCTTTCAAATAAAACTTTGCTGATGATGTACAAGTATTGTTTCAAATTCCCAAACACAGGAGAAATAAGGAAGTTAATCCCTTGTCAACCCCTTCGATCCTAGAAGTTGGAGCTTCTTTCTATATGAAAAAACCTGCAATCTTAACCTGGGGTAGGATAGTTCTCATTTAATTTGGTTATGCATTTAAATACAAGAGAATCATGCAAGACATCTTCCAATAAAAGTTGCAATCAATCTTTCCTTTGCACACATCAAAGAAGTGTCGAATATGTCCCCCAAATCAAAGTGACAATGATGGTTCACCGTAATTATTAATCAAGGCAGTCACTATATTTCCAAAAAAGAAAATAATGAAATGAAAAATAAAATAAAAAGTCCGCTAAGTCAAAACCTACGAAGGAGACTTAGGAAAAACTAGGGCACCGCTGACTGTAATATCAAATGAAACAGTTTAGGAAAAAGTTAGGGATGACAAAAGAAAAATCAATCAAGAGGTCACGAAAATCCTCAACGAAGACAAAATGAGTTAACCAAAGTCCTCAACAAAAAAAAACAAAAAGTTGTAAGAATAAGTGATTGCCTTCTCAAAAAATCCCTTGGTTTTTGAGCCATCATCATTACTATCATCAGCGCAATTCCCAAATCTCTTGGAATATGAATGCATAGTCTGAATTAACTGAGTGTATGACTGAAGAACGTTATGAAGAATGGTTTGGGTACAAATAAAATTTGAGCATCTATCATTTGTTTCATAAATCATGAACCAGGCCATGTTACAAGCCTCAAAAGACCTAATTGAAGTCAGATTTCTTTTGAAAGCATACTACAACAAGGTTGCGTAAACTGACTCTTAAGATCTTTTGCAAATCATTTGTCTTGGTATCATACCTTTGCTTTCTCTTTCACTTTAAATGTATGATTCGCCGTGTTTTGACCAATGATTCATTTACTATACATCAATAACATCATTCCAAAAATGATTTTGATTTCAAAACTTTTGCATGAACTTTGCATTAAAATTATCATGTTTGAACAAACAATTTTGCTTGCAAACAATTTTTCCTCATCTAGGAAGTTCAAAAAGTTGAGAAACTTGGTCAGTGATCCTATCAGAGGTAAGTATCTTCCAGATTCTGTTGTGAATCAATTCAAGATTTGTTACTGAGTGCAAATTATTCTCATAATTGGTTAACCATGAGATCTTTTTTAAGAATCATATTGGGGTAAGCCTTTCCCAGCAGTCATTTACAGAATTGAAGCTATGATAAATTTATTCCCAGCAATAGTCATACTAAAGCCATGATCAATTTATCCTCAATAATCAGTTAATCTAAAGCCATGATCAGTTTATCCTTAACAATCAACTAATTTGGGACAGTTTACTTCAAGAGAATCTCTAACAGCTCTCCATGTCCTTCCTCAAAAGGACCATCATCCTGTTATATTTCACTAGTGTGACAAAGATATGTTCAACATTTTCCTCAAGCGGAGTTGGCAGTGTTCCCTGTGTTGAGGAATCAAAGTTCCAATCTTGGTTTTCTTTGGAAGAGTCAAGCTCAGATGTCTCAATCACTTGCATTACATGCATAAATCATTCATATATCATGCATTGATCATTTATATCATGCATAGGAGAATTTAATATCATGCATAGCAAGAGTGTTTCATGCTCATGTGTATTCTCCCAAAAGCCTTCATCTTAGTCAGGTGGAATACATTTAAAGGAAGGTCAAAAAGAGTCCTCAAATCATTTGTAAATACATGTTTCTGCAATTTTTGAGTCAATTTATTCCGAATAAATCATTTTTAGATGAGTCTTCCAAAGTAAACATCTTGACTTAGCTCATCCCTTGAGTCAGTTGTTATATCCTTCATGTGTCTAAAGATTGTTGCATACAAATTGATTTAGTTTTGAAGTTCTAGATAATACATAAGGTGTTTCTAGTCTTGTGTGATGTAGTCATTTAAAGTTTTCTTAGTGTTAGATAACCCAAGAGAACCTTGATCCACACCTTGAACTTGTTTCTTATGTGAGTGGTTTCCTTGGTGGTGGTCTGCTGGTCAAAAAGAATGGCTAGGACTTCCTTGTTCTATGAAATTTGCATGGTCTTTCCATAAATGATTTTGTCTTCATACGGGCGACCAATAACCTTAGATATCTGATTTTGCTTCAGATGAACCTGAATACCCATCACAGTTGAAGAAACCATTATTTGAGTAGATTCGACAAAGATCTTGAAAGTCCTTACTAGTTTAGGAAAAAATATATCATATTATTATAGGTGTCTCGGCAAACAAAACATGTTCTTCACGAACATCTTTTTCAAAATCAATAATTATTATAGATTTTTTTAATATATGTGTCTCAACAAGCAATGTTGTTAAAAAATTACAATGGATGTTTCATTTAAATTTTCATTTTTAAATGAACCTTTGCTAAATCAACTATTTTTGAAGCATCTTTGTTAAATCAACTATTTCTGAAGCACCTTTGTCATAAGTTGATATTATCAAACTAAAAGTTACATCCTTATATCAT